TTCAAGCGTTGCGAGTTTCATTTGTTAGGACCTTTCTATCTTTCCAGACGATAGTATTATACTGAGCTATATGGAGGCATATATAATAAGAAATGTCAAAAATGACCAGACTTGTGACAGTTATGATCCGCTCAAAATTGGTGGCAACCCTATTCCGGAACTTCGCTACACAGATGACACATCCTCCTCCTTTCGAACAGCGTAAAGGTAATAGAACATTTAATATTTTCTGTCCAAAAGCACAGTGAAGATCAAAATTAATAAATAGCAGTGGAAATTAAAAGGAGGATGGCCATAGCAATGCAAAGATTAAACAGCACTAGCAAAGAGATGAGAATTAGAATTGTGAGAGCATGCATCTTCTCTGTGGCTACATACGGATGTGAGTCGTGGACTATCTCCCAGTCCACATGAAAGAGAATAGGGGCTTTTGAGCTGAAATGCTATAGAAAGATTCTCAGAATATACTGGACGAAAAAGAGGAGAAATACTGACATCTGGAAAGATCTGAACATCAAGGAAGATTGGCTAGTAAACAGCATCCTGTCTCGGAAGTTGAAATGTTTTGGGCATATCAAGCGCCACGACGGGTTGGAAAACATTTTGCAGAAGGCATGGTACCAGGAAGGAGGGACAGGGGCCGACCAACAAGAAGCAATCCTGTCTTAACCTTTTCCAGCCTTCTTTCTGAGTCCGTTACAATTACGACATATATGTGTCTTGTTTTCTAGCAACCGGCAAGCTGCAGTAACCGCCTGCATCTTCATTCTCATACTAGACGTTGTGGTATCATATATGCCAGTCTTTCCTGTACTAAAGATTTTCCACTGGCTTTCACTACGACACCCCAGGCACTTCTCTTCCCTCTGAATACAGAACCATCTGTGTAGATAATCAGATCATCATGACGAGAACTGTCGGGAAATCAGCTGTTGGACTTCCACCACAGTAGCACCCGCTGGCCACTCTATGCCCAATATAACACACTCTAGCAAATAGTTCTCTATATATAGTACTGTATTTCTGGTACACATTACAGTTCTCTTCCTGTATGTAAAGCAAGACCGTTCCAGTTGTAGTCTAAGCCATTGACGATTTCATCTCTCGATATACTTGGTGATTGTAATTCTCCCGCGGGTCGGACAAACTCATGGCCAGTTTATCTTGAAAAATACAATGTTGGTCACATGAATAAAAATGGGCAGAGACTAGTGGAATTCTGCACTAGAAGTGACTTGTGCATCACAAACTCCTTTTTTCAAAATAAAACACCGCCATAGTGTAATGGAAACATCCAAGATCTGGCCACTGGCACCAGTTTGACCATATTCTCACAAGGGGGCAGCACTTAACTCCGTGTCACTAACTCACAGCTACCACACTCCTGACTGATACTGACCGTTTCCTAGCTGCTGAAGGGTTCCGATAATACCAACAAGAAGTTACGCTTCAAAAAACAAATATATTCTCAGGTTAAATATTTCCCAAACTTAAGATCCAGAAAAGTGTTTTATCACGCTGAACAACAACAGCCTTGAAAAAGTCAACAGTTTCACTTATCTAGGGAGCAAGATGCCATCTACAGGAAATACCGCACCAGAAATACCATTTAGAATAGCACTGGCATCTAGTGCCTTCAATAAACTGTCCAACATCTGGAAATCAAAGACACTTAGCTAACACACAAAACTCAAGATCTTCAATTCTTGTGTGACTCCAGTACTAACCTATGGATGCGAGAGCTGGAAATCAACGAAAACTCTAGACACAAAATTAGACAGTTTTGAAAATAAATGCCTTAGAAGAATACTAAATTTCAAATGGTCAGATTTCCGAACCAATACACAAATAAGGCAAGAATCCAGGCAAGAGTATGTGTCTAATTTTTTACGAAATCGTCGCTGGAACTATGTCGGCCACGCCCTTAGAATGGATAAATCAAGACTTCCTTACCAAGCCCTCATTTGGACACCACAGGGGAAAAGATCTCGTGGAAGACCAAGGGAAACCCTACGTAGAACTATCATCAGGGAAGGCTCGCTCATGGGCCACTCAAACATCCAAGACCTACAACAGATTGCAATGAACCGCCATGCATGGAGAGTCATGACCTCTGCCCTATGTGCCGCACTCGACACAAGAGGAAAGACTAACTAACTGACTAACTAATAGCTTTATTTGGCCTCCTAATGGATACCTCTGTGTGGGCTCCAAGGAATGATTTGTGTGCTGGGTGGGTTTAGTCATATATAGCTCTGATGGAGAAATGTAGACTCAACTTCTTTCTTCTCAAGTGCAGATGTATAATTGCCATTTCCACTTCTACGGCAAACCTTTGATGTAGTTCTGTGTGTAGCTCCTAGAATGCATAATGCTTGGGGCCGAATTGTATTCAATTTATTTGTATTACTTTTTGCTGCAGAATCATACAGAATGCTAACATCCTTCCTCTAATAAATGATTTGTTGAACATAAGCATTATTTTAGAGCTAGCACCCCATCCATTTCCCTTGAGAAATCTAAGCATATTTAAAGGTCATCGGCAAGACGCGTGTACATCCGTTTTACTAGCTTATTTATGTGCAGCTGGTTGTTTATTGCCGCTAGGGCAGATGTACTCCGACTTCTAAGGAAGTCCTCCTATGACTACTCCATGGGGAGTCAGTGCGTCTATTCTTATTTTCCCCCACGACGAGGCTATGAATCCACACAGGAGACTCTTATTCGAGAATAAATACTGTCAATAACTCCCAACTGTGGAATGTTCTGCTCACTCTCCATCCTGTATCATCATCGAGTGCTTTGTCGACTGACACAGGCGATCATCCATCTCCCACGATCGTTCAACAGCATGTAACAGTTCGTCTGCTGACACCTCACTATGTCATGATAAAAAACTGTCAAGAATCTGCTCTTACTGACTTTCTCTGTATCTTTTCCCACAGATCTTTCCATTGTCACATGTTCTGGTTTCCTTCTTACAACATAACTAGGATGATTACTGGGATAAGTTGTCTTCAAGCCCTCGCTTCTTTCATAACATGTGGATTGCTCTTGATGCAGCGAATTCTACGGATCTTCAGTAAAACCACATCTCCAAGGAAAGAAATCATTTATCTTGTTTATCAACTGTCCAGGGTTACCAGCCATGTTACAACTGGCTCTGTATAGTTTGCAAAAATTCCTTTTCTAACTTCCAGTGACATGAATTTATTGCATAAAATGTTTGGTTAAAAAATGCAGTTTCAGCCTATTCTGTACTGTTCTTTATCTCTGTGACACATCTTACGTCGGATGTTATGCGTGTGCCTAGATTCATATATTTCTGTAATAATATTACTTCCGCCTTCACATCATTCAAGCTGACGCCAATTCTATAGTGTTATACCACTGTCAATCAATCCCGTAGTTTTTTGTGACCAGCCGCTATCTCTACATCCAGACAGTGTGGAAGTATGGGCAAGCTAATATTAAATATCAAGTCAGTGAAAAAGTCACCAAAACAAGACGATTACCATTTTATGGACAGACCAGAAAAGTTATTAATCTACGACCTAAAACAGGACACAATCGACTTCGCAACCACATGTATACCAAATCTGAAATGGGCGAATCAGCCATGTGCACATATGGATTGGCACTTGAGACAACAGATCACGTCCTCCAAGACTGTACTAAATACAACATATAATGGCAAAACTGTTGGCCAAGAGAAACATCGGTGTAAGCCAAAGGTTACGGGTCGCTCTTTGAAAAAGACAGTGAAGTTCGTATTAGAGACATCATTGCAGATATAGATAATCTATTTCAAGCGAACGAAAGAAAAGAATATTAAAACAAAAAATGAGAATAACGTTCAGGGTAATGTCAATGAGAACGATTAATCTGACTGGTAACTCAGCGGTAGTTAGTGATTCATTCTGGCCGTAATCTCTTTATACCCTGTTCTTTGTTTAGTTTGAAGTATGAGTGTATGTAGACAACCGTCAGTCACATGGGGTCATGCCTCTGGTTTTGGGAAGTGTCTGCTACGGCTGTAAGTCCAATGCGGGAGTGACAGTCTCTGCCACATCGGTCATATTCAATGTAGTTTCACTCAGGGGCCATAATTTGGAAAATGAGGATCGTCACGGGTCAGGTGCCCAAGCATAGAAAAATGATGAGCCGTCGTGGACCACTTGCTAGACCTCCGCGAGCCGCCAGTTGAAGAGCCCGGTTCTGCCTGAACACACTGACTGAGGCTAGTTTTCTCTCAGAAATGTCCTCTGTAAATCCTGCATTTGGCCTCTAGCAAAGTGTGACAGTTCTTTTACTGTCTGCTTCGATAGGAATGGGTCTGCAGTTGGTCTCTTATCTCTCAGTTTGCATTTGCATGTTCTTATAGTGTAGCCTTGACCTTCCTGCTGTATAATTCAAGTAATCACTGTCAACATGATCAAAATAGTCTTTTCCTTTCATCGTTTTCCTCCATCAGACTTATTTTCTGTACATACCAATATATGATGTCAGGTTACTAAACCTTTGTGCATTACTACATTATTAACACTGTGATCAAAAACAGAAGAATAAACCAATTAAATTTGTTTGTAATCTTTTATTTCATTCACAATAATGGCACATGACACACGGGTAACAAATATATCAACACACAATTTCTCAGTATCAAGGAGACACATACATCAACACACAATTTCTCAGTATCAAGGAGACACATACATCAACACACAATTTCTCAGTATCAAGGAGACACATACATCAACACACAATTTCTCAGTATCAAGGAGACACTAGCAGAAAGAGATGTGAATGAGATACTCCAATCAGCCAGCATAAACACACAGCCTAACAACATCCATTAACTAACTTACTACATGCGCACACACACACAAGGTGTTAAATGGTGAAACTATAACATGAAAACTCACATTCCATTTGAAAGGTGCTGCTAAATCACAAAACAAACAGAAACAAATGCTAGCTGTTTTCTTGATTCCAGAAGTTTAAGCAAGAAGCTTGCCTCTGGCAGTGTAAGCCAACCACCAGACGATGATTGCTGTCATTGCAGCAACAAATTCACTCTGTAGTACTGGACCTGACCAGATTCCCTGTGGAGTTTCACATTAAACGATTAAGTTCATGTTGTAACACAGGAGTTATGACTCTTGTTACCAAATGTAACAAAGATAACATTGTAAGATTCTACAGAAACAAATCTGTATTGTTCTCACCAGGACTTGTATTCTTGTTTAAAGGTGCCACAAAGTTTCTACAACAAGTTCCCAAAAATAAGGTGTGAGTACCTACCAAAACATTTCTTGTAAAACAGTGTGTATACAAAAAAAATGCTGGCACTCACCACAAATTTGTGTACCGCCTGAAAAAAGCCTTGTCTCTCACAAAGATGATACCCATATTTTCAATAATACATTCCATAAGATCATTAGAAATGAAACTGGCTTACTAATGGTCACATGCCTCAGAAACTTGAGCACTTCTGCTACACCAAGAGTCTCTGGTTTCAAAAATAAGAACACTAAAAAAATACTGCACATTTTATTGCCTGGCATATTTCACTGTTCCTTGTCAGGTGCATTACTGGAGAAATCAATGCAACATGACATGACTACAAAGCTCAACTGAGGCATATTTCACTGTTCCTTGTCAGGTGCAGCATTACTGGAGAAATCAATGCAACATGACATGACTACAAAGCTCAACTGAGGAAATGGCAAAGATGTGCACAAAGACAATGGAATGATCTTTATCAATGCAGTACCAAATACAACAAAACTGAGACTAGACAACTCAGTGGACAAGGACAAGGCAACAGAGTTTATAAACAGCCAAGATGATCATGGAAAACCCAACAGCAGCGAACAAGACCAGAAGTATTCAACAGTGAAACTAGAACATGGAAACCTATCTCCTCCCCCCCCCCCCCTTTCCTCCCCCAATAATGCAGAGTTTAAATTAATTTATAATTAAGACCTAAACATGAATTCCTTTTGAAGTTAAATAAATCAAAATGTCTCATGCTGTAAACTATAGTAATGCATCTAACAGTAATATATGGCAGGCACTCATTTGTGCAATAGATTGATTGTGTCCCAAAAATTTAAATTCACAATGTGAAAACACAGTTTCTGGTTTAGCAACAATGGAAAAGGAAGGAATAAAGGCTTGAAGACTAGGTCTTTTGTCAACCAAAATGTTGGTGGATATTAAAGACATCCTAGACGCAAAGAAAGTACAAGACAAAGACAGTAGTGAACTTGTTATCTGTACCAACATCCAAAAACATCTGCTCAACTCTTTCGTGCTCAATCCTCCAAAAGATCAGCCATCTCAGTGTCTTCAAACCCAGCAGTTGATTGCCATGTCTTTTCTCTTATCTCCAAAACCAGTTTCTGTAGGCCTGTATTCGTATCAGACACATTTGAAACAGGTGGTCTATTGTCTCTAACTCCTTTGTCTCATCTCTGGAATGCAGAACATTCAGTATGTCTGCCTTGTCCATACTTCTTCCTCCGCTAATCATTGCAGACAGGCCCAATCTGATTGCTCTTGTATTTCCTTTCATCCCTGTGATAATGGTGTGTACATCCAATATATTTTCTGGAGGCAAGATGCTGTGCACCCATTCTAGGTGTAGTTTGCCATTGTTGGTCTTCTTAAGCATGCTCTTTGATTGTCCTATGAACTGAGAGTTGCTTTCTGTTCAGCCAGCCATGCAAGTGCCCCTGTGACAGCTGCTGCCTCTATTGTCATACCAGGAGTGGTTGAAACAATGAGACGTAATGGTGTCCCCCCAGTTCAGTTTGCTGGTGGATGAATTCTCTTATGTCAGCACTACTGGCTCTGGCTGCAATCTTTGCTTAACTTGCTCTTTGTCCTTTTGTTTCTGCCTATTCAGTACTGAGCCTGATAGGTTTCAAGGAACAAACTTGGCTAATGGTCTCCTGTGAATCCAGGACTGCCACCTCTTGTAGGTGTTTACCTTTGTTTATCCATAGGCAGCTGTGCAAAGGGTGTTTCATGTCAGCAGAAGCCAGGTAAGCCCTCACAGGGGCTATTTCGCATCTGCTGGTCAAGGATTTATCGCATGAGAAGTCTCTTGTGCATCCCAAGATCAATCTTATGGTTTTGTTCTACACTTTCTCTAGTCTTTTCCACTGACGTCTGCTGACTGTGAGGAGGCCAATCCAGAGAGCAGCAAACTGTGATCCAGCATCTACAGATGTCTTTGTTCCATCCTAGCTGCAGCCAAAACCTAGAGCATGGTCAGGCCTAGCCTTTATAATGACATGATGGATAGAACATCTATCAGGCTGGGTACCAAGATATGTCAGGCCTAGCCTTTATAATGACATGATGGATGGAACATCTATCAGGCTGGGTACCAAGATATGTCAGGCCTAGCCTTTATAATGACATGATGGATAGAACATCTATCAGGCTGGGTACCAAGATATGTCAGGCCTAGCCTTTATAATGACATGATGGATGGAACATCTATCAGGCTGGGTACCAAGATATGTCAGGCCTAGCCTTTATAATGACATGATGGATGGAACATCTATCATGCTGGGTACCAAGGTATGTCTGGCCTAGCCTTTATAATGACATGATGGATAGAACATCTATCATGCTGGGTACCAAGATATGTCTGGCCTAGCCTTTATAATGACATGATGGATGGAAGATCTATCAGGCTGGGTACCAAGATATGTCAGGCCTAGTGACCACTTAATATCATCTCCACACATAACCACCATAGGCTTGGTGTCTTGACAACTCTGTTGTTTCATGACAACCATGTCCATGTAACCTAGCCTCAGCTGGGTGTACTTTAGTCCCTAATCTGGTCAGTGTAAAGTTTCAGCTGCAGTACTTTTGTAAACTAGTATGTGACAACAGTAACATTCTGCAAAGAACATCTAAACACAACTGTAATCATATTCATATAAGAAAAGTGAGTTTAAAAAAAATTGGAAGAAGTGTCAATGAAAAATAAGGCATAAAGAGACCTTTCCACACTAGGTAAAATTACTTCAATGAGGAAAAAAAATGCAATTCCCTATATAAGGGAAATGACCAATTATTTATAAAGATAATAATGACTAATGACTTATACATGGAAGAAGACAGACCAAACAATAACAAATAAGTGTACCAGCTCTGGGTTAACTGATGATACTTCATATGTTGCTATTCTGTTTCTGATCTTATAATCTTCAACTTTACTCTCATTCTAGTTACTGATGTTAATTCATTTATTTATAAGTAACCAGACAGACAAGGTAGGCAGACAGATTGGCTGGATCTGACCACTGGGTGGGGAATTGATACATGACAAGGCCCTTTGGGAACAAGCAACGAAGTCAGAAGCGAAACAAGATTATTATGGCCTGGAGAGAATGAGACACCTAGGTATAACCAGGTGGTTTGGGCTGCTCACTACACTCAAGGGAAAGGCAAGATGCACATATAACCAGATTATGACCTGTACCATTTGTATTGGAACTATGCGCTGGCTGCTGAGGATGCCCCGAGTGCGGTGATGTCAATTCTTGACTCAACTCAACTACAAGTACCCATCCCAGCCTAACTCTCTGATGATAGGCACAGTGGCTTGATCAACTGGTTGCCCGTCTAGTACAGTGTCAGAGTCTGCTTGACTACTCTCTCTCTCTCTCTGCTCACGTCACACCTTTACATTCTGGCATGAAGATTATTTGAACTCTGCACTTCCGACCATCATCAATATGCCCTGCCAATAAATAAAGGCATTCATGATTCCACACCGCTAATGATCACCAAAATCACAAAGTAGGTCAGTGTTGGTCCTGTCACACCCCTGTAGCCTGGCCATCCAGGTTCATTTTCCATCAATCTTGTCATTACAACCAAGTTCTCGAGTCCAGCCCTTATGCAAACATGTTTTGCTTCCATAATTTGCTGGTTACCGCAGCCATTCAGTCCACTACCGCTGCGTCACAACTAACTTTGGCTTTCTGGTATTGACTTTGCAAATGCAAAAATTGATCAAAGAATGTTCCCTAACACTTACCTGATGACTTAGGCTAATAGTAAACAATGGTTTCAGGCTGTCTGTCGACTCTCCACTACGCTGTGCCTGAAAGATACATTTAGTCACCTCTCAATTAAAGTAAGACACACCCACAGAGAGACAAGCAGTGAGGCAGGGATGTGTTTTATATATAAAAAACACAACTTCCTGTGCACTGGACAGTTACTAGGAAAAGAGTTTATGGAGCAGCACATTTGTTAAACTTTTAAACAAGAAATAAAACGGAAAAAAGGGAGGCGGGGGGGGGGGGGGGGGAGACAATAAATGAGAGAGTAAATGGAAAGAAAGAGAGAAGGAGAAGATGAAGATCAGAGGAGAGGGAGACAGACAATGCAGGAGACAGGATGGAGGGAGCAAGAGGTGGAAGAGTGAAAAAATGAAGGGGGGAGAGAGAGAGAGGGAGGGGGTGAGAGAACAGAAGAGGGAAGCTATGGGGGAATTACAATGTTGAGCGCCAAATACATTGTAAAGATTACCCTGGCAATATACAGAACTAGAAAATCCAGTTGACTTTGCTTAGCCCCACCATCTGCAAATGTAATCCTTGTTTCTAGAAACCACAGCATCCTGTAGCTATTTATACTATTAATACTGCCAGACCCGCTAGAAACAAAGGCACACAAGATGGCAGCTGCTCCTTCCTGCCCCATGCCATGGCGCTGCTGTCTGCGTGTATCCATGGGCTGCAACACAGCCCACCTTTCCCTAGCCCTTAACAAGCCATTTCAGCTGAGAATGGCTGAAAATCATCTGCCCTCACATTGGAAACGACCGTAAAAGTTTAAAACAAAAGTAGCTGAAACTAGCCTAACTGCCGAAAATCGCGGGTCTTCTGGCGATCTTATTGCGGGGGTCAAAATTCTAGGCTTTTCAAGGGCAGTATGTCTTTTCCTAGGCGAAAACAAAAGTTCAAGGTCGGAACCCCGATTCCAAGGTTAAATTTGTTTCCCGGTTGGCTAAAAACCCTGTAAAAGAATCACCTCAGAAATGGGACTAGTTATCTATCAAGATAAGACAGAATAAATGATAATAACTAGACAAGGAAAAGGATACAAACTCGGGCCACATACAAGTCAAAATGAAACTCAAACAAACAAAAACATATAAGTACTTGGGTGCAAACTTCAACTGCTTCAACATGCTGAGAGAAGAAATACAATCTAGAATACAATCTGGAAATAAAGTAAACTATGCCCTTCAACATCTGCTAAAGTCAAAGTGTCTGTCTCGCAAGACTAAGATCAAAATATTTACATCGATAAAACCAGTCGTTTTATATGGCTATGATACCCGTGTGGGTTCCGGGGCCCCATGATGGGAAAAACAAGAATAATCCCACTGCCTACCCAAAAGCATGTCATAAGAGTCGACTAATTGGGAGCTTCCTTTGAAGTCGGAGTGCATCTGCCTGAGGGGCAAGGAACCAACAGTCTGCATTCAAGTGAATCAGATCTGTAAATCTGATGCACATGCAACACTCAGGTTCTGGAGCAGGACAGCAGTTCAGAAGTGGCCAAACAACCAGAACTTTCCGCTAGAGTTTACAGTTGGTGAACGCGAAGAAGAAGAAGATATGGCTATGAAACTTGGAGCACAACTAAAAGAGATGAAGCCTTATTACAGGTTTTCAAAGTATTATGGCGAATCTTTGGACCCATCAAAGATGCAAACAGCGGGGAATGGACAGTCAGAAGCAACGACAAAATTTATAATATGTTTAAATCACCATTGATAATTGGCATCATTAGGGCTAATAGACTGAAATTGCTGGGGTATATTGAGAGAATGTCAGATGACAGAGAAGTGAAAACTGTATACACAAGGGAGGTGAATGGTCGTAGACCACGAGGCAGACCAAGAAGACAATAGAGAGATAACGTCCAGACAGACCTGCAAACACTTGGTGTCACCAATTGGAAAGAGAAGGCCAACAAGAGAGACAAATGGAGGCGGGTGATATCTGCAGCAATGAACCTCAAGGTTCAGAATGCTGAAGAAGATTATTGTCTAATGATGCTACGCATTTTTTTTTTTTTTACCTTTTCGGCAAACCTAAATTTATAATTATAAAAAAATATTTATAAACATCTTTAAAGTAAATAAACTAGACCTGTCCCTTAGCGTAGGACAAAAGTTCCCGAATCAATAATATATTTTACCATGGCTTTCTTTGTTTTTGAAATTTTTGATATTCTAAGTACATGTTGTTTTTCTTTCAAGATGGCGGCTGTTGTCATGGCAACAATGATTTTTTAAATTTGAAAAGGTAAAAAAAGGTAAAAACACATATCCTTAAAAATGCCCATTATAAAATAATTGGTTAAACACTGTAAATAAAATATCAAAAACTGCCTTCTGTTATGGTGGTCTCTTAAGATGTTCACAATGAACTAAGATGAAGAATGAACAACCACCCCCCCCCCCCCCCCCCCCCCCCCCCCCCCCCCCCCCCCCACCACCACTTTCCATCTCTCTCTTTTATATATTGTGACAAATTAAATCTGATACCCCAGAAATGGCAATGGAAAATTATGACTATTCATTTTAATGGAAGTGAAAGCCGAAAGATGATCACATTCCGTAATGTCATGATTCTGTGTTTGAATATTCATGTTACCTTTCTCAAAGCTGCAAATCCTTCCTCATCAAATATCCTGATCTCATATGTTCCTGGAGGTAGTTTTTTGTGCTCGTCAGATATGCTGATCTGTTGACAATTCAGGCAAACTAGTTGATATTACTGAGAACAAATAGTTATAAATGATAAGCAGTTGTAGGATCAAAAACAAAATACTAAAAGGCAGATTATGGTAAGAGAGCAGAATGGCTGAGAAATGATATCAGCCAATTACTCATAAAGATTGGGTTCCTTTCATGGTCTGTACTACACAGATATTTCTTAATGTAAGACAAAGACAACATGCTCCACCTAGGTCCCAGGAAAGTGTATCTGATGGGTAGCCTTCTAAGAAAACAGGCCAAACAGACCTCTATATAGAAAGTGATGATTCCTCAAGTGAGCCCAGGCAGTGTATTTATGAAAGCCACCTTGGATGGCAGAGAATGCCCAAGATCTGCCCCTGCCTTCTCTTGAAGGCTGACCTGTCTACATGCAGATGCCATGGACAGGGTTTCCAGGGGCAACACCCACAAATAAGGGGACAAAGAGAACAACACACAAATAAGGGGACAAAGAGAACAACACACAAATAAGGGGACAAAGAGAACAACACACAAATAAGGGGACAAAGAGAACAACACACAAATAAGGGGACAAAGAGAACAACCCACAAATAAGGGGACAAAGAGAACAACCCACAAATAAGGGGACAAAGAGAACAACACACAAAAAAGGGGACAAAGAGAACAACCCACAAATAAGGGGACAAAGAGAACAACACACAAATAAGGGGACAAAGAGAACAACCCACAAATAAGGGGACAAAGAGAACAACACACAAATAAGGCCACAACATGTCCATGTTTCCCCGGAAGTTATCCAGATCAACAAATGTTTGATGAAGCCGGGTGTGTCCATTGAAAGGAGCAAATTCACAGCTTTGCTGTAAACAGGCACAGCGCATTTACGTCAGTCGGGCGCTCAAACAGAAGACCTTTAATAAACAAACTGACATATATTTTTGTCAAAATTATTCTGTTTCATTATTTTGAAATTATTTACTATGCCATGTAATGCTGCAGCAACTCTAGTGTATAATGTAGCAGCTACTCTGCTGTATAATGTAGCCGCTACTCTGCTGTATAATGTAGCCGCTACTCTGCTGTATAATGTAGCAGCTACTCTGCTGTATAATGTGGCAGCAACTCTGCTGTATAATGTGGCAGCAACTCTGCTGTATAATGTAGCAGCAACTCTGCTGTATAATGTAGCAGCAACTCTGCTGTATAATGTGGCAGCAACTCTGCTGTATAATGTAGCAGCAACTCTGCTGTATAATGTAGCAGCAACTCGGCTGTATAATGTAGCAGCAAATCTGCTGTATAATGTAGCAGCAACTCTGCTGTATAATGTGGCAGCAACTCTGCTGTACAATGTGGCAGCTACTCTGCTGTACAATGTGGCAGCTACTCTGCTGTACAATGTGGCAGCTACTCTGCTGTATAATGTGGCAGCTACTCTGCTGTATAATGTGGCAGCTACTCTGCTGTATAATGTGGCAGCAACTCTGCTGTTTAATGTAGCAGCAACTCTGCTGTATAATGTAGCAGCAACTCTGCTGTATAATGTAGCAGCTACTCTGCTGTATAATGTGGCAGCAACTCTGCTGTATAATGTGGCAGCAACTCTGCTGTATAATGTAGCAGCTACTCTGCTGTATAATGTAGCAGCTACTCTGCTGTACAATGTGGCAACTCTGCTGTATAATGTGGCAGCAACTCTGCTGTATAATGTGGCAGCAACTCTGCTGTATAATGTGGCAGCAACTCTGCTGTATAATGTGGCAGCAACTCTGCTGTATAATGTGGCAGCTACTCTGCTGTATAATGTAGCAGCTACTCTGCTGTATAATGTAGCAGCAACTCTGCTGTATAATGTAGCAGCTACTCTGCTGTGTAATGTAGCAGCAACTCTGCTGTATAATGTAGCAGCTACTCTGCTGTATAATGTAGCAGCTACTCTGCTGTATAATGTAGCAGCTACTGTTGCATGTTGAAATTCCATCTGCGTGTTCAGTCCCCCGTTTGGAAGACAAGACTCACTGACCTTTAACAAGCAGGTCGTGGAAGGTGACTAAGATTTGGCTACATCTGATAGACTGGACTGCAAGGGGCAAATATGGCGGCCTAACTATAAAACACAACAAGTCAACTGCAATTTTAAAGGCAAACAAACAAAAAACTTAAAATTGTATATTTCCAATGTTCTTTGCAAAATTACCTGGTATTTATTGGCTTCATATGTTTTAGTCGCTGGGATTGTACGACCTCCAATATCTGCATACAAGTTGATGTTCTGAAAAATAAAAGAAATGTTTAATCAACATATTGATTCTCTCATAAAGCCCTTTTGCTGGACCTATGGTTAACTCTAAATTCCTATATTCATATATACATTATTTCATCTAATGCTGCATCACATTTTTCCAGTTATTAAAATCCACCCATTTACTGCTTCACTCACAGATGATTCAGACAGTATGTCCCTGTTAAAAAAATGTTTGAATGCTGGTATCCACTGGCCACATTAACCCATTATGAGTGTTACAATGTGCCAACTGAAAACCAATCATGTTCTGCTGGCACTTTTGCCAGTTATCCCCTATAAATAAACAGAGGGGGGAACCATTTGAGGCCGTTAAATATTATGAATTAATCAAGTAACAGAAAGTATTATGAACGGCACTCATAGAAAGAAGTAGAAAGATAGAAGAACACACTAGACAACATAAAAATCGAAAGCTATAGTTACCGTGCCGGGAATTGAACCTGTCACCTCCAGACGGCGTCTGCGCCTCGCCATGAAAACAAGTGCACTAAGATACATGGTCAACTCGGCACCCCCAAAAAAAGGTGTCTCATTGGCCATGTCTATCGTACAGCTTGAAATCCACGACTATGGAATATGGACAGAATTCATTTCAACCTATTGAAAATGGCACCATAGGTTACAGAAATTTATATTAACGAAGCAAATGTCGAATAACAATCACAGCAACAATTTACGAACACAGTAAGACCTTATTGCTTTGTCTAGGATACACAAACATTTAAGAAAGGTATTTGATTGGTAGGTTCCGGTGTGTATACGTCATTCCTATAAATAAACAGAGGGGGGAACCATTTGAGGCCGTTAAATATTATGAATTAATCAAGTAACAGAAAGTATTATGAACGGCACTCATAGAAAGAAGTAGAAAGATAGAAGAACACACTAGACAACATAAAAATCGAAAGCTATAGTTACCGTGCCGGGAATTGCAACTGTCACCTCCAGACGGCGTCTGCGCCTCGCCATGAAAACAAGTGCACTAAGATACATGGTCAACTCGGCACCCCCAAAAACTACTACTACTTCTTTCTATGAGTGCCGTTCATAATACTTTCTGTTACTTGATTAATTCAGTTATCCCCTGAAAACCAATCATGCTCTGCTGGCACTATTGCCAGTTATCACCTGAAAATCAAACATGCTCTGGCGGCACTATTGCCAGTTATCCCCTGAAAATCAATCATGCTCTGCTGGCACTATTGCCATTTATCCCCTGAAAATCAAACATGCTCTGCTGACACTATTGCCAGTTATCCCCTGAAAATCAATCATGCTCTGCCGGCACTATTGCCAGTTATCCCCTGAAAATCAATCATGCTCTGCTGGCACTATTGCCAGTTATCCCCTGAAAACCATCCTACATCTAATGATGTATAACGCTGACTGCACTGCAGCCTTATAGAGAGTCATGTGAACTGACAGTGTTCCACATCTTGAATATATACAACATGTACTCCTTTAGGATCATTTTTGTGTCTCAACATGAGTTGTGAAAACACCTTAAAACTGTCTTCTTCCTCTTTTCGTCCAGTTACCTCATCATAGTGCTGGGGGATTGCATTAAGGATCTTCTTTGTGCCCTTTCTAATGTGTTGCATAAGCTGATAATTAATAATTTCAATAAGGAAGGATGTTCTTGATTTGAGAAGTTGTGGGGGGGGGGGGGGGGGGGGGGGTGGTGGTTCATGGCTTTCTGTAGGAGCTGGTACCAGGGTATTACTGTTCAATGGCCAAACCATCATCTTCTCTGTTGCTGTTAATAAATCAGTTTTGAGTCCTAGTCTTCAGATTTCTTCACTTTAATTTATCTTTTTTATTTCTGTTACTCTGGCAGCTCTTCTAAGACATCTCATTTCTGCTTTTAGTTTTTTGCACTGATGAGCTATAGTAAAGGTTGCCCTGCCCCCAACTTAATACAAACGCTGCTATCAGTGTGCCTCTTTTCTATTCTTTCCAGTGAATTTTTTAGTCAGTTTGTGTTGTATTTGGTACTTCCCATATTTACTTGCTTTATGGATAGGTCAACACTGTTCTAAACACATAATGGAATAGTTACAGAGTTACATAAGCAACTTTCCAAAACCAGTCTAAGCATGTAAACCTGTATCAATAAGACGCCCACAAAATGTCTGAAATCTCATAATTCTACCTTCAGATTATTTTTGCAGGTTAATGTGAACTCTGCTATAAGCACTGTGTCTGTAGAAACCACTGCTTCTGGGGTAGAATAGGTCTGAGATTTCACGACAGGTGCCAAGCAGGTATCTCCTGTGAATGCAAGTTAACACTAGGATTACAAACAGATTTAGTATTTAACAAACATGAGTACTTGCAGAAATTGCATAGACTTCAAAGTAACAAAATTATAATATATTTATAAAAAATATAAAGAAAATAACTATGAAATCAAAAAGTATGACTGCCAGATTATGCCAAAGGACCATATCAACAGTTGAGAAAAAAAAAAACATTACAAAATACTGATATTGGGCACATCAGAATAAGACAGCTGTCTATGGGGGAACAAGGGTAAGTGCCTAAAGAGGGTGTGGTCCTAGATGGGACAGCTGTCTATGGGGGAACAAGGGTAAGTGCCTAAAGAGGGTGTGGTCCTAGATGGGACAGCTGTCAATGGGGGAACAAGGGTAAGTGCCTAAAGAGGGTGTGGTCCTGGATGGGACAGCTGTCTATGGGGGAACAAGGGTAAGTGCCTAAAGAGGGTGTGGTCCTAGATGGGACAGCTGTCTATGGGGGAACAAGGGTAAGTGCCTAAAGAGGGTGTGGTCCTAGATGGGACAGCTGTCTATGGGGGAACAAGGGTAAGTGCCTAAAGAGGGTGTGGTCCTAGATGGGACAGCTGTCTATGGGGGAACAAGGGTAAGTGCCTAAAGAGGGTGTGGTCCTAGATGGGACAGCTGTCTATGGGGGAACAAGGGTAAGTGCCTAAAGAGGGTGTGGTCCTAGATGGGACAGCTGTCTATGGGGGAACAAGGGTAAGTGCCTAAAGAGGGTGTGGTCCTGGATGGTGGAAGAAGAGGACACCATTAGCCAAATTTGTCCACTGGATGGACAGAAACACCAGAACAATTGGAGGAGCACACTGACGTGATCATTACACACTGACGTAATTATCCCACACTGACGTGATTATTACACACTGACGTGATCATTACACACTGACGTAATCATTACACACTGATGTAATCATCACACACTGACGTAATCATCACACACAGATGTAATCATCACACACTGACGTAATCATCACACACTGACGTGATCATCACACACTGACGTGATCATCACACACTGACGTGATCATCACACACTGACGTGATCATCACACACTGACATAATCATCACACACTGACGTGATCATCACACACTGACGTGATCATCACACACTGACGTGACCATCACACACTGACGTAATCATCACACACTGACGTGATCATCACACACTGACGTAATCATCACACACTGACATAATCATCACACACTGATGTAATCATCACACACTGATGTAATCATCACACACTGATGTAATTATCACACACTGACGTAATCATTACACACTGACATAATAACCACTGCCTCAACTCAGGACATTCATGGCAGGCCAAAAACAGAACTTTACTTATGTTAGAAATCTGATCACCAGCAAGGAAATCAAAGTTAACATCTGGAGAGTATGCAACCATCCTGTAGCAACACAGGGATAAGAGTGTGGAGTACCTCCCAGTCCTTAAGGGGGAAAAAATATGGGCTTTTCAGCTGAAATGATATAGAAAGAGTCTCAAAATATCCTTGACTAAGAAAAAAAATAGTGACATTCTAAAAGATCTGAACATCAAGAAAGATTGACTAATAAATGGTACCTTGCCTCAGAAGCTGAAATATTCTGGCCATATCAAGAGCCATGGCAGACTGGGAAAACAATAATAGCAGAAGACATGGTACCAGGAAGGAGGAGCAGGGGCTGACCAACACAAAGATGGGCACAGCATATAAATGACTACTTGGATGGTGGGACAGCTGGTGAGAGTTTCTTTCAAGCAGGCCGTGATAAAAGCGACATTCTGCAAAAAACCTGCTACACCCCAATCATGAAGAGAAATGTGACAGGACAAAAAACCTGCTACACCCTGATCATGAAGAGAAATGTGACAGGACAAAAAACCTGCTACACCCTGACCATGAAGAGAAATGTGACAGGACAAAAAACCTGCTACACCCCAATCATGAAGAGAAATCTGACAGGACAAAAAACCTGCTACACCCCGATCATGAAGAGAAATCTGACAGGACAGCTAACCTGCTACACCCCAATCATGAAGAGAAATCTGACAGGACAAAAAACCTGCTACACCCCAATCATGAAGAGAAATCGGAAAGGACAAATAAACTACTGCTGCTACGATTAGTATCATCACTCTTTGTGGGAACTGGGTCAGTCTCTCAAGTACATCAGCTCAGCTCTAACCTAAGGGTACTCCGTACTCATAGATGGTTATGTGTCCCACGCCTGAGAGGTGCTCATAGATGGTCATGTGTCCCATGCCTGAGGTACTCATAGATAGTCATGTGTCCCCTGCCTGAGAGGTGCTCATAGATGGTCATGTGTCCCATGCCTGAGGTACTCATAGATAGTCATGTGTCCCCTGCCTGAGTGGTGCTCATATAGATGGTCATGTGTCCCATGCCTGAGTGGTGCTCATATAGATGGTTATGTGTCCCATGCCTGAGGTACTCATAGATAGTCATGTGTCCCATGCCTGAGTGGTGCTCATATAGATGGTTATGTGTCCCATGCTTGAGTGGTACTCATAGATGGTCATGCGTCCCACGCCTGAGTGGTACTCATATAGATGGTCATGTGACCCATGCCTGAGTGGTGCTTATATAGATGGTCATGTGTCCCATGCCTGAGTGGTGCTCATATAGATGGTCATGTGTCCCATGCCTGAGTGGTACTCATATAGATGGTCATGTGTCCCATGCTTGAGTGGTACTCATAGATGGTCATGTGTCCCATGCCTTAGTGGTACTTATATAGATGGTCATGTGTCCCATGCCTGAGTGGTACTCAAATAGATAGTTGTGTGTCCCATGCCTGCGTGGTACTTATATAGATGGTCATGTGTCCCATGCCTGAGTGGTACTCATATAAATGGTCATGTGTCCCATGCCTGAGTGGTACTTATATAGATGGTCATGTGTCCCACGCCTGAGTGGTACTTATATAGATGGTCATGTGTCCCACGCCTGAGTGGTACTCATAGATGGTCATGTGTCCCACGCCTGAGTGGTACTCATATAGGTGGTCATGTGTCCCACGCCTGAGTGGTACTCATAGATGGTCATGTGTCCCATGCCTGAGTGGTACTCATAGATGGTCATGTGTCCCATGCCTGCGTGGTACTTATATAGATGGTCATGTGTTCCACGCCTGAGGTACTCATATAGATGGTCATGTGTCCCACGCCTGAGTGGTACTCATATAGATGGTCATGTGTCCCACGCCTGAGTGGTACTCATATAGATGGTCATGTGTCCCACGCCTGAGTGGTACTTAAATAGATGGTCATGTGTCCCACGCCTGAGTGGTACTCATATAGATGGTCATGTGTCCCACGCCTGAGTGGTACTTATATAGATGGTCATGTGTCCCATGCCTGAGAGGTACTCATAGATGGTCATGTGTCCCATGCCTGAGTGGTACTCATAGATGGTCATGTGCCCCATGCTTGAGTGGTACTCATAGATGGTCATGTGTCCCACGCCTGAGTGGTACTCATATAGATGGTCATGTGTCCCATGCCTGAGTGGTACTTATTTAAATGGTCATGTGTCCCATGCCTGAGAGATATTCATAGATGGTCATGTGTCCCATGCCTGAGAGGTACTCATATAGATGGTCATGTGTCCCATGCCTGAGTGGTACTTATTTAAATGGTCATGTGTCCCATGCCTGAGAGTTACTCATAGATGGTCATGTGTCCCATGCCTGAGAGTTACTCATAGATGGTCATGTGTCCCACGCCTGAGTGGTACTTATTTAAATGGTCATGTGTCAAATGCCTGAGTGGTACAGGAGAAAGTATAATTTAAAACCAAGCCTAAATTGTAAACATATTATTATATTAAATAAACTTAACTTAAGAAAGAAACACTAATAACTTGTAAACTATAATTAAGCATGTTTAAGAGATGACTGAACTTCAGTCTGAAGAACGTTAGTGTGAAGCTGACTTGACTATCTTCCGAATCCTGTAGAAAATGTGCAAAAGCCAATCCACAACTGTCAGAAGTTGCATTTTATTTTTTAAAAGATTGCCAACACAATTTTAGGGATGAAGTGAGAGAAAACTGATTAAATGAGTAAATATATTGGCTCTCCACCGAACTTCTACCTGATATTATGGCGGCCAAGCAAATAGCCTAACATGGCCTCAGTCATGTATAAAATGCGGACTTTCTGCCAAGGAACAAATCGCGGCAAAAGTAGGATCGGCTCCGAATAATGAAACAAATGCTCTAACAGGGTCTCAGCGATATGTTAATTGCGGACCTGTTTCTGCGACTATGCCGCACCGCCGGCAGTATCCCCGCGCTTCCCGATGGGAGGGCTAAACTTGATGGCTGGGACTCACGAGCAGCAGCTACCGCATCTCCTGCAACTTCCTCCAATTACTTTACTCGTGAGTCCCAGGCACCTAGTTTAGCCCCCCATGTGCGCCGCGCGGGATACGCTTGGCGAAGAGTTTAATCGCGTTTGGCGCATGCCGACAAGTCTGACATCTACCGCTGCTAAATCCTCTAATCAGAAGAACACAGTATTGCTAATCGGCTTTCATCGTCTGTAATATCTCGAAATTGGTCAACAGTCGCTAACATCGTCTGCAGAAACGCACGAAATTATTGTCAGCGGCCGGTATTTATCGTCTGCTACTACCGTGTGCAATGTTGATATTCATTGTCAAGTAATCCTAGTTTTGCTGCGATTTGTTCCTTGGCAGAAAGTCCGTATTTTAGATATACGTGAACACCGGCGTTCGGATATTTTATGGCCAGAATGTGGCATCATTGTAGCATTATATTATGGCGCCATTTTGGGGGTAAATTCAAAGGAGAGCCGAGATTTTCAATATGTATCCAGTTGTACTGAAGTAAAAATGATTTGGTGCTCCTTTGAATCATTCCCCAAAATGGCGGCATGCCACATTCTGGTCATAAATATCCAAAAAATATCTGAACAACGGTGTTCCCGTATATCTAAAATACGGACTTTCTGCCAAGGAACAAATCGCTGCACTACTAGGATTACTTGACAATCAATATCAACAGCACGCAGTACTAGTAGCAGACGATAAATACCGACCGTTGACAACAATTTCGAGCATTTCTGCAGACGACGATACTAGCAGACGATATTAGCGACCGTTGACCAATTTCGAGACATTACAGACGATGAAAGCCGATTAGCAATACTGTGTTCTTCCGATTGGAGGATTTAGCAGCGGTAGATGTCAGACTTGTTGGCATGCGCCAAATGCGATTAAACTCATCGCCGAGCGTATCCCCTGGGGGGGTGGCGCTAAACTAGGTGCTAGGCTCGGCGGTGAGGCACACTCGCAGAAGCAGGTCGGTAAGCAACGTATCGCCGAGACCCTGTTAGAGCATTTGTTTTGTTATCCGGAGCCGGCAAATATATTTTTTTTAAATTTTTAATAGAACTGACCCGCATTCTGATATTTTTGGATATATTTGATGGCCAGAAATTGGCCAATTTAGCTCTCTTTCGAACGACATCATATTAAAGCCGCCATTTGGGGGAACGATTCAAAGGAGAGCCAATGATTTTTTTGAATAAAGTGCCTAAGTTAGCGACTACGGTGTTCGGCAATTTCAGTCTTTTGGCAATTTCCGTTACCATGGAAACTGTTCAAAACTTGTTTGGGAAATGTCGGCTGGGGTTTCGGGATGGGTCCCAATCTCTCATAAAATTTTGCGATTGGTGTGGTTTTCACCAGTATAAATAGCTGAAAACGGCGGGAACGAACCCGATTAACAGCGCATGTCTACGACAGCCGGAAGTCCTCTGTTTTTCTGTTACATCAGTTTTATTAAAAATAGCGATAAGTATTCAAAGTTGGCTTTAGGCTTTAACATTACTCATACTGGTAATGCTGGTTATAATTAGATTCTCCGTCCAATTTTACATTTGTATATAAAATTTATTTCGTATCAGTGGCTTTTTAGATTTACAGTGACATTTTTCAGGCAATCGCTATTATGTGGCTGTGTCTCATTGTCTGCCATCTTGACCAATGCAAACAAAGCCAAAACGATAAGTGCGCAGTTTGGTTGCGCTGAGAAAACTTCTTGTTTCACGGACGCAAGTTTTCAACAGCTGTTTTTTACATCTCATCTTCACAAAAACCTACATATCTCAGCTCAGAAATGACATACAAGCCTAAATGAGGTACCATTGGAAAGAGATTGTTTACAGCTATCTAACTACTGTGCTGGTTTTATTGGTGTAGAGGGCATTTTGAAAATTTGACTAAAATATCTACCTAAGTCTGCCTCAGCTCAACATTCAAGTGAGTTAAGCTGGAGGTGGCGCTGCCTCAACATTCAAGTGAGTTAAGCTGAAGGTGGGGTCCTACTCTCTGTAACTCAGTATATAGCGACTACGGTGTTCGGCAATTGGCAGTCTTTTGGCAATTTCCGTTACCATGGAAACCGTTCTAAACTTGCTTCGCAAATGTCGGCTGGGGTTTCGGGATGGGTCCTAATCTCTCATGAAATTTTGCGGTTGGTGTGATTTTCACCCACTATAAAAAAGCTGAAAACGGCGGGAAGGCACCCGATTAACAGCGCATGTCTACGACAGCCGGACGTCCTCTGTTTTTCATCAGTTTGATTGAAAATAGCGATAAGTATTCAGGGTTGGCTTTAGGCTTTAACTGTTACTGTACCTGGTAATGCTAGTTATAATTGAATTCTCCGTCCAATTTTACATTTGTGTATAAAATTTCTTTCTGGTACGTGGCTAGGTAGATGTACAGTGACATTTTTCAGGCAATCGCTGGCTCAGCCAGTGGCTGTGTCTCATTGTCTGCCATCTTGTCCAATGCAAACAAAGCCAAAACGAAAGTTGCGCAGTTTGGTTGCGCAGAGAAAACTTCTTGTTTCTGGGAGACAAGTTTTAGCAGCTGTTTTTTTACATCTCATCTCCACAAAAAGCTCAGAAATGACATACAAGCCTAAATGAGGTACCGTTGGAAAGAGATTGTTTACAGCTATCTAACTGAGCTGGTTTTATTGGTGTAGAGGGAATTTAAAAAATTTGACTAAAGTACCTATGTGTATCAGTTACTGAACTCAATATCGGGCCAACTAAAAAACATATTTAAAATGCAAAAGAGCAAGAGCAAGAAGCATTTAACGAAATGTATTAATCATGTGTGCCGAAACTATTTTTAAGTTATAATATTTCAGCATCTAATCATACCATAGATAAAGGCAGGCAGTAAAAACAAGCCTAGTACGACACAGATTTGACACGTAGCTGCCATCTTGACTGAGGTTTGACGTGGAAAGGGGAAATAGAAACAACACAGGGCTGCCAATGGGATTTACGTTAAAACCCAAGATGTGGCTGACAAAAACCCAAGACATTAACAGCATTAACAAAAACAAAACAAAATTTTAATTTTACTTTATGACATTAAACTGAGAATATACACACCTTTATGTTTCTCGAACAGTTCTTCTTCTTCGACAGTTTCAAATTCTTTTCCATGCAAACATTGCCTTACTCCAGCGCTTTTAAACCTATTGGTCGCGAGACTTTTGTGGGTCGAACGACCCTTTCAGATAGGTCGCCAACGACCTTTGGAAAACACATATTCTATGAAGTTATAAAGTAGCAGCGAGAATAATTGTATGGTTAAAGGTCTCCACAACATGAGGAAACAACATGAGGAAACAACATGAGGAAACAACATGAGGAACTGTATTAAAGGGTCACCACAACATGAGGAACTGTATTGAAGTGTCACCACAACAAGAGGAACTGTATTAAAGGGTCACCACAACATGAGGAACTGTATTAAAGGGTCACCACAACATGAGGAACTGTATTAAAGGGTCACCACAACATGAGGAACTGTTTTAAAGGGTCACCACAACATGAGGAACTGTGTTAAAGGGTCGCTGCATTAGAAAGGTTGAGAGCGACTGCCTTACTCTTTGCTAACTTTTCGCTTTCTGTAGAGGGTGTTTTCAACATGGAATAAAACTTACATTTGCTTTAGCAGCCTCGAAATTTCATACATTGTAAACAGAATCGATGTTTTCATACCATGGATTTATTGGCATTTCAGAGAGAAACTTTACAACATTTACAGTAATTGGAGTCCCTATCGTTGTTGTCCTGTCCTAACCGATATTTATATTCCGCTCTAGTAACCTATTCCGATTTGAAACACTGAACATACCATATTCGATTCTCTGGTGGCATAATTTGTTGAATTAGTTCACTATTTTTGAATTCAACAAGATTATAATGAGTGTAAATTTCAACAGGACAATTTAACACACCACAAAACAGCAAAAGCCTAGTGATAACTCAAGGCCCCTGTAAGTCGGTTTCTGCTTATTTGCCATTTTCAGCCGAGGCTGCTACAATGTCAATAACCCCAGAAAAAGGAAATGCTTCCAAAACTTTCTTCAGTAATTAGATGTCACGTCGCTTCTTTCTTCTGTAAAATTTACGATCAAAAGTGTCAGATTTGATCTAACCATAGCATCTGCTACTTCACTGACAATACGCAGGGATCGTAAATTTGATCCTTTTGTTGTCTACTTTTTTAATTGCATTGTCCAGAGTTCAGATTTGTTTCGTATTTCAATTATTTGCATACAGACCATCACTTTTACTGAGTTAACTTTAAGCGTTTGTGGGACATTCAAAAAAAAAATTATGTTATAGTTAAACTATTAGAGATACATGTACACACATTATTCTGATTAAAATATTTTTTAAATATGGTTTTCTTTCATCAGTAAAACATAGAAGCCAAGATTTCCATTATTTTCAAAATACAAACCAACAAACCCAAGACGGTAAACAAACCCAGATTCTGAGTAAAAACCCATCATTGGCAGCCCTGACACAAGGCAATGTTGGTTTTCATATCAAAGAGAGCCTCGATGGAGTCGCAGGCAATTAAATGTCGATTCTGGTCTGCCCTTCACAATAGCTTTACCTCCAAACCTATCAGCTTGTTGATTTCCTTGCACGCCTGCCTGCCCCAGAACAAAAATAAGTGGATTCCGGCTCACTGCGGCATACCAGGAAATGAGCTAGCAGACAAACTTGCAAAAAATATAACAAAGAAGAAACAACACGCCCATTCATTGTCATGACCAGAAATCAAAACACTTATCAAAGGAAAATACCAGGGATTGTGGAGAGAAAAAACTAACAGCAAACATCCACAAGACCCCTTCAGCAGACTCAACAGAAAGCAACATACAACAATTTTTCGTCTACGAACAGGACACTGCTACCACATGCATAAAATAAAGATTGTGCAGTCCCTACAGTGTGCCTGTTAGACAGGACACAAACACCGCAGCACATTCTGCAGACCTGCCCACTCTACCTGCAACTTCGAAAAGACACCTGGCCTCAAGAGCAAAGTGTGCAGAGCAGGCTATGGGGAACCTTGCGGGACCTGCAGCTGACATGCGAGTTCAGAGAGGCAACCCACCTGATGGTCTGATCTGAGCATACGAAACCGAACGCAAAGAAGAAGAAGAAGAAGAAGAAGAAGAAGAAGAAGAAGAAGAAGAAGAAGAAGAAGAAGTATCCTTTCCATCCTTTCCATCAGCTTATGGCTGAGAGTCAGGATCGACAACATCGCCAACGTGTATTCAAAAACAAAAAGGACCAGACTCTAGTATAGAAGACATAGATGACGCTGCGCCCAGTTTTCCGCCGCCATCACTCTCATCGTAGACCAGACCCCGCTTGGCTTTCATTATAATCTGATCTTTGTGCTCAGTATAAGCAAGGCTTCGATCAAAATGTATCCCCAGGTATTTTATTTCCTTCGTTCTTTCCAGAACCTCAGAACACAGACTAACAAATGGCGTTGGAGTTTTCACAATATGGTTATTCAAAGAGAACCATGTCACTGCCGCCTTCATTGGGTCGACCAGTGCACCAGCTTCACCATACCAAGTGCTAATGCGATTGAGCTCTTTTTGTAGTTAGTTCTTCAGCAACCTTCTCTCTACGCTTACCCTGGCGATACACTAATACATCGTCAGCCTATGACAGTGTTCTTCCGGGTCCTGTGACTTGCTCGCCTTTGGTGTTCATAAGTCCAACTGCCACATCTAAACTCTACTTTTCGTTGGAAGAGGGCGGAAGAGATCCAATGAAACAGGAATGGACTTATCTGGAGTTCAAGAAGCTGAGACATCAAGAAATCCAAAGGTGTTCTGTTGTACGCATTCTCGAGATTAATTGCCGCATCACACGTTTCAATACCTGAGTGGAAACCTTCATACGCATCATGAGCAAAAAACGCAACATTGGTCCATGTTTCTCTCTTCGGACGGTAGCCTCCAAGAGTATTTGGGAGAAGACCTCGCCTCTCAAGCTGGTATGAAATTTTTCTGGCGATTATTTTTTCTAACAGCTTGCCCACAGTGTTTTGCATAATGATTATCCGATATCCCTGAAATTGTGTATGATCTTTTTAAAGGTTTTGGCAGGGGTATCAGATAACTGTGTAACCACTCTTCACTGATACTAGCACTCGCAATACAATTGTTGTACATATCTACTAGCTCTTTCAGCTCATCTTCAGTACACCTACTAATGTCATCCTATCTTATACCATCTGGACCTGGTGCACTATTATTTGTTCGTCGTAGCACAGCCTTGACCTCATCCACTGTCACTATATCCCCGTCTGCAAACGTCTGTGACTTACACCCATCTGAGGTCATCGCTTTGGCAAAATTGCGTCCTGCCCAAAAGCGTACTGTAATCTAGTGGGTGCCATCCTACTGTGGTATACCAAGAAATGAAACCGCAGATAAACAAAGGGGCATAATTTGACCAGCAAGAGAATGCAGTAACATAATATGAGAAAAAAAAAGAGCCATCCAAGCTATTAGAAGTGAACAAAGTCTGGCCAGAGATGACTACCACTTACTTTACATGCATGGGCAGGTCATTGTCCTACGTCTCAGGACAGGACATAACAAACTTAACCAGCATATGCACAGGCTTCGTCTAAGTAGTTCACCTTTGTACCCTTGTGGGCTATGTGTGCAGACTACAGAACATGTCCTGCAAGACTGTCCCTTGTTCAGCCCATTAAGAAGGGAATACTGGCCCAGAGAGTCACCACTGCACACAAAGTTGTATGGGACTAAAAAGGAACTCATAAAAACAGTCAAGTTTATCACAAGTACCTGTCTGTCGGTGTAAATCAGAAAGCGAACACAAAAAGAAAAAGAAGAATAAGAAGTGAAGAAGAAACCAGAGCCAGGTCAATAACACTCCTCGTCACCTGGGCGACTTAGTGTCCTGGTGACACAGCCACTGTAAAAACAAACTAGGTCAATGGTTTCAAGTGCAGTCTCAAGCTCCTCCCCCTATGTTTTGGAAGAAATGTTTTCCAACGATCGGCCTGAAATCATCACAGAAAAATGGCATTCTTCACCTAACGTATTACAGCTTCCCTCAAGCTCTGCCATATCTAGGAATCCGCGCTCGCGTTGCAGGCATTAAATATTCACCATTACAAAAGACGACTGCATTGGATTCTGATCGCCTGTATTTGTATCTCGTCGCTGTGCCACGTAGACATGTCCACCGCTGAAGCCATTTTACTGTCTCGACCAAGTATAGCCAAACTCAGCTGTCGTCTGCTGAAAAAATACCCCATGCCAAATGTACTACTGTCGCTAACAGGCATCTCGTATCAAGCTAAACTATCACTGTTGTTCGTAACCCTGAAACAAGGAAAGCCGAAGAACAACGCAGATAGCTACAGACCCATCAGCCTCACTAGCTGTCTGTGCAAACTATTTGAAAACTATTTGAAAGATTATTGAAAAACCGACTGACCCGGTTCCTAGGGGGAAACTTTAAACTTATGAAGGAACAGGCAGGTTTTCGACGTTGCAGATCAACAGAAGTCCAAATTACATTTATTGCTCAACACATTGAAGATGCATTTTAGGAAAAAAGCACACTTTTGCATTCTGTGTGGAGATGGAAAAGTCCTTCGACAAAGTGTGGAAAAATGGGCTGAAACGAAAGCTACTTGAAAGTGGAATATCCCATTACATGCTTGGGTGGATCGTAAAATATCTTGAAAATCGATCTGCAAGTGTCAAGATAGCGTTCGAGGAGCAGATCAGTCACAGTGAAACACGGAGTTCCACAAGGCGGAGTTCTGTCTCTAGTTCTTTTCCTAGTTTACATTAACGACATAAAATCAACCCTGTGTAACGGAGTTCAAGCTGTTATGTATGCCGATGATCT